TCCATCCTCCATTCCATCATGGTCCTTTTCATCTACTCCGTTTGTTTCATCAAAATCGCAATAATTATTCTCTCTCGCCAATACTCGACGTCTCAATTCATCTCTCTCTTGCTCATTGTCACATCGAACCACTCTCATTTTCAATCCAAAATGATCAGAAGCAAACAAGTAGTCATAACCAGAATCCACCTTCATTAAGGAAGAAGCATTCAAACAGAAACGAACGATCTTCCACCACAATGGCACTCTCCATTTGGCACGATTAGTAATCCGGGGTTCATCATTATTCGTGACCTCATTCAACAACTCTTGATGATGTGGCAAAGATCTCTTGTTGCTAAAAAAACAATTCTCTCAACGGCCGATTGGCAAATAATTTAACTTTGCAAGATGGAGCACACAAGCTCGATTCATGCATTAATATACGGTCTAATCTCATTCTTCGAATTTCCATTCCATAAAACATCCATCGCACCAAATCATTCAAACTCGAATCAAATGTGTAACCTTTCGAAGTTCGTGTCTCATTCCAAGCATCAATAAAATTCATATCAGAAATGACAACGTCTTCCTTTTCATCATGCAAATTTAAATCTCCCATTAAAATAACATCTAATTTTGAGTTAGTGGAACCTTCATCATTTTTGTAGCTCTTTGCAACAATGGATGAGAAATGATGGCCAATAATTCATGCCGCCGCTTCATTGCAAATTCTGTCATGGCAGTAGTATGTGCTCAATGATACATAATTGTGCGGAATGATCGGTGACGGTAGTTCTATTATTGAACATGTTCGAATGCATTTTGGGCACATGTGAAAAAGGCATAAATCACTGGACGACTTTCATGGATTTTCAATTCCATATACATGTAATCTGGAGCATATTTTGAGAGAATTAAGTTTCCCATTTTTCTTCCTAATGATTCATTCAAAGTGTCACTTGTTCTCAAGCTGCCAAATGAATGATCATTTTCAACTTTAAAAATGTCACTAAAATAGTAATTCGTTTTGAAAAACTCATCTTGTTGCAAGATTTTCAAAAACTCTGCAGTAACTTCATTCAACACAAGAATATCGAAATTTTCTTGTTTCAATAACTGAACTGTGTATGCGTAGCGTTGTCTCGACCGAATGATGGGTTTAATAAAAACGGCACCAAATCAAACAAGACGTTAAAAGTTCCAATTTTTAAACCCAACTCACGAGATTCTCCAATCAATCCTTCCTTCTCATCATCATTTTCATTGATTGAAAAAGATACTTTTCCGATGGAATTATTTTTGAAAGCAAGCGAGTCCATTCTTCTAAATCTTCACATTGTTCCGTGCTATTACTACAACTAGTCAATGCTTTAAAACGATTTTCATAAAATTTCCATTCCTTCCTCCGAGTGGAACACTTGGCAATTTTCAAACGGACGCACGTGCGAAGATTTGGTTGTTGTTGTTGTTGTTGGAGGACATTTTTTTGTAAATTCGACGCAAAAAAAATGAACACAAATGAAGACGTTGTAATGAATAGTATCAACCAAACATTGATGACCCACTCAGAAGCTTTCGGAATCATCTTTAAACATATTGAGAATTTCTCAAAAACATTGGACGGATTATCTAACCACATCAATAATCGGAAACAAAAGGTAAAGTCAGTTAAATTAGTCTCCGACAGCAACCAACCAATTAAACCTAAACAACCTCTTCCTCCAAAAACAACACTCATAGAACAAACTCCATCCCCTGCACATCCTTATCGAACTGATGGACCATCAAACCAAATATCTAAAATCAAAAATATTACACATCCAACAAACAAATCGAAAATCAACAATCAAAATAAGACAACAAACTTCATCACCAACACAAACCTCACCAAACCAATTGAAACAAGCACAAACCTCATCAAACCAATTGAAACAACTTCAAAGCCCCAAAGTCAACCCCAGCTTCAATCTAAGAGCCCACCTATCAACACCAGCTTCAACCTGAATGAATCGCAATCGTCATACTTGCAAATAGCCAAGACAGCCAAGAACATTACATTTGATCCAACAAAAAACTCCGCAAATCAAATCCTACAATACAACAACAACCATGTACCCTCCTGCTAAAAGAGCTAAAACAATTAACTATTCTCACTGTGTATCTATTTACCTCAGTAAGCATATCGACTCAGACATCACTGAATTTATTACAGATGCAGTCAAAGAAAAACTTACATCATGGTACATACCTAACAACAAGACGCACGTACTCCAACTTGTCTGTAACAATCATGAAGATTATGTATCAACCTTGGGAATTTTAAACTCACAATCAACAAGAGACTCCAGTCCATTCAAATACGTTGTGACTCCTATGAATTTCTCACCAGCTGAACACACCCTCAAATATCATACTTCATCATATGACGAGATGATGAAGTATACTACATTATCAAAAATTTTTGGAAAAGAACTAATGGAGTTAAAGAAACTAATACCAGTTATGACAGAGTCCAAAAGCTTTATAAAATCAGAATAGCAGTTGAATCTCTTGAAGATAAAGAATATTTTATGGCAAGGAAATATTCTGAATACCGATCCATTGACCAGATCATAACAGAATCTAAGCTTAACTGCTCTTGCAATTTTTCATCCCTCTACACAGAGAAAGATATCAAAACTGCGATACAAAAGATGGTGGAAAAAAGCAACTGTGTCTTCCAATCAAACCACTTAGAGATTATTAACAAACCTAGCCCATATCGCCCTGGAGAGCATTATTATATAGCCAATTACAAAGCAACTAATGTTGCAGAATTGGAAAAAATTACAAAATTCCCAACAAGTATCACTCCACCAAATGGCACAAAACCAACCTCAAAAAACTCATATCTACAACCAAATATTTGGTAGAAAAATTCAAAAACAACAAGAAAACGAAGTGACTGGTGCAACCAATAATTTCCAATTCAATAATGACCTCTCAGCATTAGAAAAGAATCACAAATCACTTCAAGTAGAATGTACTGAAAACTCAATCAAACTGGAATCACATTCTAAACAAATACAAAACATCACCAATACACTAACAGACCACACAAAATCCATACAGACCATTTTTGAAAAACTCAACGAAATAGCTTCCAAAATGGAAAATATTGAATTACATTTGACAAAACCGTACCATCAATTAATTCATGAATCCAAGGATGATGTAGAAGATGAAGATGATGAATCTTATCACCCAAAACCAAATGAAAATAGTGATGATGAAATGGAATATGACGAAGAAGAAGATATAGTAGAACCTAGAAGAGGTGATAAACCTCTTGGAAATAAGAACAATTAAGTCACCAAAATGTAATTTGAAAATTGGCTGTTTTAACTGCAACGGGCTCATAAAGACAGCCACAAAAGAAATATTGACAAATGAAATCAAAGGGATGTGCTACAATCATAACATCCAAATCATGTCAATTACTGAAACACACTTAAAAACATATGAAGATCAAAAAGAAGCCTATAACAAAGGGAATGGAAGTATCTTCTTTAATTCACTATTTGGAGCAAGAAAAGCTCAAAAGGGAACAGCTCTCTTCCATATTCTTAACAACAAAAGAAAACGATTCATATCCAACGAAAATCTAATACAAGGAAAACTTCAATGGACAAGGTTTTCTCTAGAAACAAACCTATTAACATCATTACGGTTTATGCTTCATCTGATGGTGAAGATGATGATGAAATAATCAACATTATTATTCACCTTCTACTAAAATGTGAAAATGAATTCAACATTGTGCTAGGAGATTTCAATATCAACACAAGGAAACCACAAAATTCGAGAGAAAAGAATGGAAAGAACTTATTGAGTGTTTCCAACTCAAAGAACTAATCATCCCAGAGAATTACACATACGTCAGAAAAGTCATCAACTCAGTTCAAAATCACGACCTGATCATATCTTCGTTTCTAACAACATCAGAATAATCAGAGAAGTTATTTTGCCACCAATATCCAAAAATGATCATCTACCGTTCTATATTGACATTGAGTTCGAAACAGACTATTGTTGGAGAAACTTCATCTCTAGGAAAGATATGAATCAAATCTCAACAACATTGAACGAATCACACTATGATTCATTTGATGCACTTCAGAAAGACATATCAGAAATGGTTAACAAATTTTCTTTCAAAGACGATAAGACCAATCTCAAATACATTAACACAATCAATAAGAAAGAAATCAAAACCAAAGAAATAGAACTCCTCCATCTTGTAACACAAGGAAAAGGTCAAAATATCGAGGAAATTGAAAAACTAAGAAATAATATCAAAGTACTATACAAGGAAACTGGAGCTGATATCAAAGCAAAACTAAGTGAAAATTTCAACAAACATGACAGCTCAATGATTTACCAGTTTGACAAACATCTAAAAGAAAAATCAATAGATTGGAAAAATATCCAATTCTCTGAAGAAGAAATTGTGCATCATTTTGAAACAAAATTTACCTCAGTATCCAAATCATCAGACTTTGAAAATCCACCATCAACCGTCAAGAAAGGACCGAAAATACCACAAATAAGCCTTAAAACAATTAAAGAGGCGATATCGAGAATGAAATCCAACACACCCGGTCTAGACTCAATATCCTTCCAAATTATACGTAATCTCAAAGACGAACATCTACAACTTATTGCTGACCAATTTGAAAACTGCATTCAACAAGGTAATATCCCTGAAGAATGGAAATCTGGTTGGGTTAAATTACTCCCTAAAAGAGACATTCAAAAACTAAATGATATTAGACCCATAACCATTCTCCCAATATATTACAGAATACTTTTCAACATAATTGCATACGAATTAAGACAATGGGCTTCCAAACACATCAACTTAAGGCAACAAGCATTTATTTCACACAGAAACACAATGAATCACGGATTATTACTTTCATCTCTAGCCAAAAGAACAAGTCGTCACTCCTTTTGGTAAACTTAGACATCGAAGGCGCCTATGATTCCGTTGAAGATCATATCATTGAAAAAGCTCTCACTCATTGTAAGTTTCCAGATGAGTTGAAAACTTTTATACTAAACTCATACAAGAGTCAAATATTACAGCTAGAAATTGATCACCATCTCTCTAGACCATTCACAAAAACAAGAGGAATACCACAAGGATGCCCTTTAGCTCCTCTTATATATGATTGTATTACTCAACTCATCATTGACAAATGCATACAACAATGGAAAATTTCAATCAAACCAACCAAGCTTAATATTAACGATATTGGTTTGCTCTGCTTTGCTGATGACATTAATTTAGTTTCAAACAGATACTGCAATTATAACGAAAGACTTGATAATATCTCTAAATGGCTCGGCCAATTAAGTCTAAAAATTAATCCTTCAAAATCCATGGCAACCACTCTCCCAACTAAAAGCAAAATGAAGCCAATGATAGACGGTACTATTATACCAAGATTCAAAAACCTTCGAGTACTTGGACACTATCCTTGGGATGACTCTACTTTAAATGAAGATATTGAAAAAGAATCCTCCAATTTCAACTCTCACTCAAATATATTCCACTGAAAAGAATGGAGATAACAAACATTAAGAAAGTAATTTTGCCAAATGCACTAGCTTATTTACACACATTTTACGAACAAATTACATTCCTGAATCACTTGTTGATAGAATTAACATTGAAGTAAGAAAAGCAATAAGAAAGAAAATTTTCATGCATAATGCTAGTCCAACAAACTATTTTCACCTCCCAATCACCTATGGCGGACTTGGTATTCCAAGATTCGATATCTTTGCAGATGAAATTCGAATCAAAACAGCCCTGTATCTTATTAACAATGATAATGAACTTCTTAGAGAAGTATATTCAGAAGGAATCAAACACGAAAATTCGATTTTTAGGAAATGAACAGATCAATGAAGAAATACAAGATCAGACCTCAACAATTTAACAATGACGAAATCTTTCCAAAACTCAAAGGAAAGAATTTTACTATTTACACTGACGGATCAAATCTCAACAACTCAACAGGTTTCGGCTTTACCGCCAAAGTTAACAATTCCCAAGAAACCCAAGATTTCTCATACAAAATTAACAGCGAATACTCACATAACGTTGCTGAATTATCAGCAATACTCACATCACTAAAGATACTTCCACCTAAATCTAAGGCAAAAATTCACACAGATAGTGAAATATCCATCCACGTTTTGAAAAACAAAGCCTATAACGGAATTTTTAACTGCTTCAAGCATGAATATCAACAGGTCATTCAACAATCCAATCTAAATATTCAACTAATCAAAGTTAAAGGTCATGTCAACAAAGGAAACATCAAAGCTGACGAATTAGCTAAGAAAGGAGCTCAAGAGCACAACTATTTTGACATTAAGAAGCTATTTTCGAACCAAACCATCCTTGCCACATCTAATACCATTATTTTCGACATCAAA